GAATGGTGGCAGTTAAGAGTATCGTGACTCTCAAATATTGTTTTGGGGGCAGCCAATGAAGAATTGATTGTCTACCTTGACAAACTACAAGTGAATCTGCTGATGCGTGAGGCTTAAGACTTTCTCAATAGGACATGTCTCTCAAGGTGACATCTAGCCTTTCATATCAAACCAATGTGCTCCTGATCAGGGAGCCATCCTGACACCCAGAGCACCAACTGTGGGCCAAAGCAGCACAGGGAGCCTTACTCCCTGAAACAGACGCTGTTTCAGGGTCATCAGTACAGTCCAGGATTAAATGCCCAGTGCAGCATGGGGTTGATCCCAATCTCTAAGAACTATGAATAAGTTAAGACTATTTTGAAGCCACTGTTGGGAGTTAGGGCTTCCTCCAAAAAGTCAACGGTCTGGCTTAAAGACTCTGAAATCTGGCATAAACCAGGCCCCCTGCAGTTGCTACCTGCCATGGAAGACTTCAGAGTAATAGTCACAGAGGACAATCCACCCTCTGCAAGAAGACAGGGGTCCCTGAAGCCGAAAATGTGCTGACTCTAAGACAAGTCAAATGCTAAGATGGAGCAGGAAACCTGGGGACAGACGTGATCCACATCAACCCTTCAGTGCCCCCCTCTCCTGCCCCAGAGGCTTGGCCACTCTAGAGGAAACCACACATACCACTGGTTAACCAGGTAGACAGGCATGATTGTGGAAGACTCCGAAGTAAGGAGTACTGAAAGGGCTAGACGGAAGCCAGGGAGTATACCAAATCCTTATTCTTGACCACAACTCAGTGCAAATGGGATTAGGGGGAGCATTAGGAAGTCACATCTTCCTTCTTTAATCCTCAAGCTCAGTTCCCAGTGCAGATAACCCTGACCTGGGGCCATGGAGTGAATCAGGACACTTTAGAGGCTTTTTCTAGCTCTAGAAACTGTTATGTGCCCTGAATCTTTGGGCCTAAAGTATGAATCCTCAATAGGTAACATGTATCTGACGTGACTATCTATTAAATTAGGCGTTCAGAATAGTGAACTTTCTAAGCTACCTAGATACCTTCACTATTCCTTCTCCGTTGTAATCTACAGGGACTTGGGGCTACCCACGGACATAAGCATGACACACCCATTGAAATGCTAGTTTTCTAAAATTTTTTTTTCATAGAAATCATTCTCATGCCTTGCTGCTCCAGCTGTGCTCGTACATAGCATTAATGACAGAAGTGTCCACAACAGAACGGTGCCTTTGGAGCCAGTGAACTGACATTTTCGCCAACTCCTGGCTCTCCCAGCTGCCTCCTGTCTTTCTGGCTCTCCTCGGCAACTTTCTGGTGGTTCATTCCAGCTTCCGAGTCCTTCTCATTTGCAATGTGCCCTCTGCTAGATTACAGGAAGAACGGAGGTGTCAAGTTAAATCGGATAATGTTACAAACAAATCTGCTATCAGGAGGTTCTGGCCTATGTGTAGCTTCCATGCTTCTTTCCTGCATGGGGTCGGCACAAAGGAAACTGTCATTTCCGTAGGTCAAAAGTAGCAATTTCAAACAGTTCAACCTAATAAGAGAGGGCACGGACCCCGAGATCTGCATTTTCTCTGGTGCCCCGGAGGATTTTCTTCTACTTAATTCCTAGTTCATGGTGGTGCCATGGATAACTAAAGCAGCAGTAGGTGAGCTGCCAGAAAAGTGGGCTAGGATGTAGTAATACTTCAAATCCACTGCATTCTACAACCCCAGGGGCAGAGCGCCACACGGCAGTCAGCCTGCCTCTCCACCAGTCACCTACACACTGAAGTAGTTTTCATCCCTACTTTGAAAAATTCAGCTTGTCAGAGGCTTTTGCACAATTGTCTCTTCAATCCTCTTTATGAAAACGACACAAAGCCATCAGATTGGCTTAGCAGGCTCACAAGACAGTAAGAGAATCACCCAAGGGAATGAAAGAGAGCCAGGGAAGAAACTAGGCAAGGGGACTCCTAAAATCTCAGAAACTCTACCTAAGAAGCAGGGGTTCAACACAAGAGGGACTATGAAATGCATCATATGCTCCTCTCGGTTCGAAATGGGGCTGACTTGCAAAGGGCTCTCTGTGAGTAAGCATGGAGATCTATATTTATACTCCCAGAGGGCGGATCCATTTTCACTTAGTCTAAAAATAAAATAAATCAAGTGTCTAAAGAAAGAAAATTATGAGACAAGGAAGACATGTTGCCTCCAGATTCAAATGTCTAGGGGTAAACAACAGAGACTTCAGGTGAGTCCAGAAGATGAGCAATGGGTATAGAGAAAACCTTAAAACAAACCAATAGAAATAAAGAGGTTAATGAAAGGGGATAATAAACGTGGGGTATAGTTTCTTTGCCTAAGAAAGAGAGAAAAATTTCCAGCTGCACTGGAGATTTAGGCATTTACCTGTAAACTAGTAGAAAGTGCAATTTAAGAAAATTAACGATTTTTAATACTTACCTTGTTCTCCACCTGGACACTGTCACCTTCCCCCAGCACTGCTGTGTGATGAGGTTCTATTTTTTGTTGTGCATCATCAGGCCCTATAAAGAAGACGACCCATGAAATCGAACGTTCTTTATAGTACATTTATCACATGGTTACAAATGTGGTTAACTCCACAGCACTGTAATATTCATTTTAACTTCAGACATAAGAGACTTAGGAATCTCCTTAAATCTCTTGATTATATCTGCAAGTATTAAAGTCTGAAACTGGCTGGCTTCCAATGTAGAAAAAAACAGGGAGATGAATCCTGCATCATGTTTCCACTTATACTTTTGATAGCAGGTCTAACAGTTCAATTAATAAGCAACGTCTTCAGGATTACATGCTAATAAGAATGCTTCCTTGAGCAAATTATACATACCTCATAAGAATTAAGCATACTTAGGAAAATTAGTAAATGCCATCATTAATTCCTGCCAACAAGTACTTATGGAGCACCCATAAGTGCTTAGTACTATGAGAAAATCCAAAGAAGAGCAAAGCCAATTCCTGTTGTTGTTTTTTTTAAGTAGGCTCCATGCCCAACGTGAGCTCAAACTCATGACCCTGAGAAGCAAGAGTTGCAAGCTCTACCGACTGAGCCAGCCAGGCACCCCTCAGATTCCTTTTAAACAAATAACTCAAATCTCATTGGGAGGAGCTAAATATATTTTCATTAAAGAATCAGAGAGTAATTCCCTTGAAAAATAAGTAAGTGGGATAGCTAGTGAACTATGAACAAGGCTCTGTGCTAAATGCTGTGTGTGTTGGGGGGGGGTGTTTTCAGGATGGCTACGGTTCTATCCCTTCTATAATGAGACTGACAGATGAAATACAGATGAAATTGTGTCTTAGTGCAACAATAAAATAATGAGCAAAGTTCAATGAGAGAATGGAGGTGTAGGTGCTAACTCAGGTCTAGGGGCCCTAAGGATTTGTTGTGGAGCAGTTGACTTGAATAGAGCTCTGCAGGATTACAGAGACCTACACTGGGAAAAGCTAGGAGAAAGGGCATTCTAGACAAGACAATAGCCTGTGCAAAGGTAAGGTGTGGGGAACACGCAGGGCGTCTCTAGGGGAAGGGTGATCCTTCTACCACTGCTGCAACGTTTCTCTGGGAAGAATGATGGAAATGTAGACTGGCTTCAGATCAAGATAAGATTTGGAAGCCATGCTTATCCATATAAAGTGGGGGGCCTCTGAGGAGAGAGTGGGGTGTGAAATGGTCAGATCTATGTCTTGAAGACATAACTCTGGGAGCAGAGTGTAGAATAGAATGAGGGGGCAAGAGTGAAGTTAGGATGACCTGTTAGGTGTTTAATATCAGTCTCAGTGAAAATGAATTACGGTCTGGCAGCACCTGGCTGGCTCAGTCGGTGAAGCAACTGACTTTGGCTCAGGTTCAGACCTCAGGGTCCTGGGATCGAGCCCCGCATTGGGCTCCATGCTCAGTGGGGAATCTGCTTGTCCTTTTCCCTCACCCTCTGCCCCCCTCTAGTACGCACACATGTGCTCTCTACTCTCTCTCAAATGGATAAATAAAATCGAATTACAATCTGAACTGAGAGAGTGGGACGGATTTTAGAGGTGGGGTCAAGAAAGAATCTAAAGGACTTGGCAACAGTGGGAGAGAGGAGTCCAATAGGATCCTCACTAGGAACAGAATAATATAGTGACCTGAAGATGACAGCAGTGGTTCTGCATGAGGGTAGGGAATGGAGAAGCCAGGGTGGGCTGGAATAGCCACAGGAGCCTGGAGACAGGAGGTGGGGTTTGGGCTGGTTCTTTCAGTTGGGTAAAAAACCAAGACATGCAAATGGACAACAGAGAAAAGATTGCAAGCAGGGAGAAAAGCCCACAGAGACATCTAAGAGGAATACACCTTCACGACATTTGGGGATATAAATATGGGCATCCCCCTGACACGTTAAAGCTGATTAATCAATTAGGGGGTGCTTATTTAAATGAAAATAATCGCTTGAGGAATTATTATATAAACAGACACCTAATTTGTGAATTTTGTGACTACTGGAGTCCAAACAAAGCTATTTTTCTTTCTAGAGAAATCCTCCCTTGCAAACTCCACTTGGGAGATAACCTGTGTGAAGCAACAAGGCTCACTGTGATGTTTGCAAATGTGAAATAGGATTCTAACCGAGTGGGAGTTCTTAACCTAGTCAGTGCAGCCCCTGGACCCATGGATAGAACTCAGAGCAATCACTGGATGGCAGATAAACCACATCTTTCTTTTCACGAACACCTAGCTGAGATGTGGCCTTTCCTTTGGTCATGAATATAGCCAACAACCACACTGTAGTATTCGCTGGGCCGCCGACTCCATCTCCAGTAGAAATCACAGATATTTTCCTCTCCCATTACAGTGCCGTGGCCATCCCAAAACACACTTCATGTGAATCACTACTGAGAATGTAGAGTAGAGCTGCTTGCTTCTCCCTCTGCCTGCCGCTCCCCACAGCTTGCGCTCGTTCTCTCTGACAAATAAATAAATGAAATCTAAGAAAATAAAAAATAAAATAAAACTGGCTTTCAGGTTGGAGCGGGAGAACGAACCCGATCTGAAGCATGCTCATTTCCGTGGCATAAAGGCTCCCACTGTGGTCAATTTCAAGCTACTGATGTGAGGTGTGAGGTCAGGGAAGAGGTGCTCGATGGGCCCCTGCGAGCTTGTAACAGCCAGCCCAGCGCACCACTAAAGGTCCCTTCTCCATCGAAGATTTAGGTCAACGGGTGTCATGGAAGTGAACGATAGGCCTCCTCAGGCTTTCTACTCATGCATGGATTTGGCAATAAAACCGAGAGGTCTGGGAGTCTAAGAATAACCACGTTTAGAACTGGGTAATATCTTTAACTGTGAGATGAAGAAGCATTTTATTATGGGTGCTTTACTGAGATTCCCTGGGAGCAATGGGCCATGTCTTTTTATCTTCAACTCATTCATACGCAATGCCCATATATGTTACCCACAAGGTCTACTCCTGGCCCCTCATTTTATGATGTAGCATGTTCCACAATACATAAACCCCAACAACTTATACAGCCCCTCCCCTGTCTTTATGGAGTGAGCTGGCAAGAGACAACTCTCAAATAATGCAGAATTGGGATTTCTCTGCACCTCCTCTCAGGAGAGCTTGCTTGACTGCAGTGTTCATGGGTCTGTGAGCACACATGAATTCAGAAGCAAAGAGTTCATGTTGTCCTAAGGACACCAATCCTCCCTTTATATGGAGCGCAAATTTCTGCCCACTCTCTTTGCTGCTCTAGGGGAGGAATCACACTGCTGATTCTGAAGAGGCCATGTGAAATGCTCCAGCTTAAGGTAGACCTTTGTTACAGAGGCTGGAGGGAGGTTTCCAGGTCATTCTAAGTGTACCTTTAGCTTCTGTATTGTTTTATGAAATGTTTACAACAGGATCCCTGAAAACAAAGATTGCTTCTATCTTCTTATTCTTTCTATGCTATTTCACCCACCTGGTTATCTCTTGAACCTAAAATTAGTCTCAAAGAAAATATACTTTACTGTTTTTGACTCCTTTCAATTACAAACAGAGCCAAATCAGATAATAAATAGTTTCCATTGAGAAGCTTCGCCAAGAATGTTAAATCTAATAGGGCAGTTAAGGAAGATGTAACTGAAAACAATTGAATTGCAAATATTTTGGTTTGCCTAAGCAGTCCTGAAAGGGCAAAATACTTGAAAACATATTTTCAAGTTAGTGCGGCAGCTTCAGTGTGTGATTAATTGCTGGGCAACTTTTCCCTATATGCCAGATTTCCTTTCTCCTCTCTTTATAAGGACTGCCATCCCACTGACTGGCCAATGCACACAGGCTGGCACTTCACTAGAGTTTGATTTCATCAATTTTGTATGTACAGTCGAAGCCCTCTTATCTGATGAAATCAGGATCATTAATTGAAAGAGACAATCAGCTGCCTCCACAACATTTTAAAGTGTAAATGTGCATACATTTGCCAATTTTTAGAAATACAGTCAAGGTGGGTTGGCTGATTGGATTGAAGCCCTGTCTTTCAAAAGCATACCTATAATGACTATACCCACCAAAATCCTTCTAGATCAGTTGCTCCCATTCTTTTTCTGTCATCTTTCCCATACTAATTCAAAAGCTCTTCTTGAGCAATTCACTTTTACAAAGCATTGGACTTAGTTGTTCTAAAAATACCAACTCCTTTTAAAAAGATTTTATTTATTTATTTGACACAGACAGAGAGAGAGAGCTCATGCCGGGGGGCGGTGTGGGGGGACAGAGGGAGAGGGAGAAGCAGACTCCCTGCTTTGCAGGGAGCCCGACATGGGGCTCAATCCCAGGACCCTGGGATCATGACCTGAGCTGAAGGCAGACACTTAACCAACTGAGCCACCCAGGCACCCCTAAAAATACCAACTCTTTTTTTTACTTACTTCATTAATTTACATATTGTTTCATTAAATCGCATAATTGCAATTATCGGTGCAAGTGGCATAACAGATTTGAGAACAATCACAACTGCCTCAGTTTGGCTGGAGGGAGTAGCAATGGGCAGGCAGACCAGGGTTGCTGATCATCCTGGGTGTTCAAAGCACCTCACGCAAGGTAGTCCCCATGGAATGAGCACACTTCTCAGTCCAGTTCATTCTAGGTAAGTGGAGGTCAATTCCGAGGGCTTCTAAGTGTTTCCCCACGTTCATTGACATCCAGGGGCGGTGTCAAACTTTATACCCCCCAGAACCAGAAGCAAAGGGCTGAGCACAAACTAAGCGTGAATAATGACTTATTTAGTAAGTCTGAAACATTTCACTACCCGCATAAACGAGTTAGGTGTCATTTCAATAACCACAGACAAGTATTTTTAGATTTCCAAATAGCTTTTCTCAGCCCAAACAGTATACCTGATACTGGTCCCTCTAGGAGACTGACATCCAAGCTGATAAACTGTCCCACGCTGCGGGGATACAGAATATAAACTCCTCTACCCTTTGATCTCTGTGTTAATGTGTAATGTTATTTCCATCTCAGCTGCAGGGAAGGGGTTCAGCGCCAGTATACTTGGGATCTATTGGCTTTCTGACCATGCGGTTTTTAGTTTCGATTTTTTTTTTTATCCTAGACTGCAGAGATGTCAGCTGAGGGCTGGTCAAAGGACTTGATGCTTCAGTAAATGATGACTGTCAAAGATCTCACTCCAGTAATCTGTCCTGTTGAAACCTCCACCTGTCCTACAACGTACCAATATCTGTCTTGCAAGAACTTCCTGCATCAATTAATATTTTTTGAGTCCTCCTAAATCTCCATTTTATGGAATCTCCGCAGATTATTTTCTCAACCCAAATGGCAGTCTATTTATTCCAGCTCAATGCACATTTATAACATCTATTCCAACAGAATGGAGGTGCGTGACATTTTCGAAAAGACAATTACTTGCTTATCAGTTCCTGCCATCTGTGGTTTTAAAAGCACGATAAAATTGAGGCAGTAAAGTCAGAAAGCGTTTTCCGGATTCTCTCTTATAGATTTTATACGTCAGTACATATTTAATAGCTATCTCTGCTTTGTCTTTTTTCCTCTGGTGATTTGTTCTTGCCCTTTTGTTTTTCTCATTAACATTTCTATGGGGGGGTAGGAGGAAGGGAAGAAGATACAATTCAAATGAGATCATTTGGCCAGTTGCTCATTGGCTAAAGCAGAGTTCCAAGGGGCCAGTTATGCGAGTGGATTCTCTCCACGGTCCAGTTTACCCCAGACAGATGCAAGTTCGCTCCAACGCTATAGACTGTGACCCCATTTCCTGCCAGATGTTTTGCACTTGTGGCCCACGGTCATGAGAGGTGACCAGGCCAGTGAATAGAAATGGCTCAGGAAACTCCTGCCTTCCCAAGAAAAACAAGGGGATGTATAGGTCATTCTTAGCCCCTCCAAATGTTGAGCTTTTCACTTGTTGAATTCTGGGACTAAAGGTCTGTTAGAAAACAGGGCTGTAACTACTGATTAAAACAGGTTTTGTGGGGGCGCCTGGGTGGCTCAGTTGGTTAAGCATCTGCCTTAGGCTCAGGATGGAGCCCTGCGTGGGGCTCCCTGCTCAGCGCAGAGTCGGCTTCTCCCTCTGCTCCTCTTCTTGCTCATGCTCGCGCTAGCACTCTCCCTCTCTCTCAAATAAATAAAATCTTAAGAAAAAAACAGGTTTTTTTGTTTTTTTGTTTTTTTTTTAAGATTTTATTTATTTATTTGAGACAGAGAGAATGAGAGAGAGCACATGAGAGGGGGGAGGGTCAGAGGGAGAAGCAGACTCCCTGCCGAGCAGGGAGCCCGATGCGGGACTCGATCCCGGGACTCCAGGATCATGACCTGAGCCGAAGGCAGTCGCTTAACCGACTGAGCCACACAGGCGCCCAATGAACCTTTATTATTTTTTTATAAAGATTTTATTTATTATTTGAGAGAGAGAGAATGAGAGAGAGCACATGAGAGGGGGGAGGGTCAGAGGGAGAAGCAGACTCCCCGCCGAGCAGGGAGCCCGATGCGGGACTCGATCCCGGGACTCCAGGATCACGACCCAAGCCGAAGGCAGTCGCTTAAACCAACTGAGCCACCCAGGCGCCCAAAAAAAACAGGTTTTGAAGAGAGGGGGATGTGGCAAAATGGGCGAGGGGAGGGGGAGGTACAGGCTTCCAGTTAGGGAATGAACAAGTCACAGGGACGAAAGGTACAGCATAGGGACTATAGTCCGGAATGGTGTTGTATGGCGACGGATGGGAGCTCCAGGTGTGGCAAGCACAGCATCACCTATTGACTTGTTGAATCACTATGTTGTACACCTGAAACTAATGTAACGCTGTACATCAACTATACCTCAATTAAAAAAACAGGTTTTAAAGATTATTTGTTAATTTTTCTCCCCTTCGTCCTCCACACCACCAGTTAAACCAAAATCAAATATGAGCTTTTTGTAGAGTCCAGAAGCTAAGAAAGGTTTCTATCCTTTTTACATGGTTGAAAAGTATCAAAAGAATAGCATTTCATGACACATGAAAAATACACACAATTCACGTTTCAGTGGCCGTAAAGTTATATTGGAACAGCCACCCCAACTGTTGACGTGTTATTGTGGCTGCTTTTGGAAGGGCAGGAAAGAGTCGTTGCAACTCAAACTCTATATGGTCCACAGAGATGGAAATATTTATTATCTGGCCCTTTATAACAAGTTTGCTGCCCCTGCCCTTTCTCATTCTACACTAACATTTCCGGTATCCTTACCACCTCAGAATTCACATGCTCTCTTTATTACTTTCCATTTGTGCAGATTATTTTGTTTCTCTTGAAATCCTAAGTCAATGGGTGCTACCTCCACAAAAACAGTCTTTACTCTCCATGTGTATCAAGTACATTGTGATATTCATGATTTTCAAAAGAGGATCATACAACAAATGATGCTTCATCTCTTTCAGATGGTTAATATAGTTTGTGACACTTGGGATACTACTACTGATTTTTTTCACCATTTTTCAAACGTGAAGTGAGCTTTGCTTCTGACCCATAATTGAAATGCTATTCAGTGAAAGAGGAACTAAGGCCGTTTTTACTGTATAAGATCAAAATACATGGGTTTGTATTACCACTATTTTCCAGAAGAGTAATTTGAGGCAATTGAACTCCTTTCAGAGATTATATATAAAGAATGGTTTAAGTGGCTCTGGGTGTCGCCTTCAAGTCCCGAGCAGATGTTATCAATAAGCCAGCAGTTGCGGCTGTTATTACCCCAGGAGGTAGGCACGTTAGGGCCCCAGGAAGACAGTTCTTGCTGAGGAGGCTAGCGTGCAGGAGGGGGGTGGAGGCCACACAACCCCAGAGGGTCTCCGAAATGACACTCCTGGCCTGCCCCCCCCCCCATCCACACCACGCATCACTGTCATGAGGGGCAGGGGAGGGGAGAGGGGAGGCTGGTCCTCTTTTTTATTTATTTATTTATTATTTATTTTTTTTTTTTAAGATTTTATTTATTTATTTGCGAGTGGGGCAGAGAGAGCAGCCTTCCCAGTTTCGGAGCAAGCTTCAGGCCACGAGACACAGAGCCCACTGGCGAGCTAGAAGTTGGCCAGCGAGCTCCACGGAGCTGAGGCCTCAGGGCTGTGGGGAGGGCACCTAGAGCACCCGCTACCGTGGGGTTCCGGCAGTCCCACAGAGAGACATGCCCGACACCCGTGCCATTTCCAGGAGGACAGGGCGACACAAGCCAGCCTACTCTGCTGCGGGGCTGGCTACAAGGTTGAGACTGGAAAAGACAGGTTCCATGGTGGGGCTGCTGTGTTGTCATGGTACAAAGATGATGGCGTGCGGCATGGGAAACGGGCTTGGGGAGTCCTTGGTTCTGGTCCCTGGTCCACCAAGGCATAACCCTGGCAAGTCAAAGATCTTTCTTTAGACTTTACTTTCATCATCTATAAGATGACAGTTGCTTGGGTCCTGAATATCCCTCCTAGACTAGACTCAACAAGAGACAGGTGTACAACCCTTAAAATAAGAGAAAAGCAACTTTGAGATTTCTCAGCAGCACGTGGGACTGCATATTCACCTCCTTCCACCTCCCAGGAGATAGATTCCTGCTCTCCTTAGCCCATTAGAGCTCCATCCCTTTATCAGCACGGAGGTCACCAACCTCTTAACAAGGTGTCAACCCACGTGATCATGCGTGGACCTTACATCCACACACAGGCCACAGTGAAATGGCGGCTGTCGTGCCTGCTGTTCATATTCTCCTCCCTCATTGAACATGCTGGAAGCTGAGAGGTGCCCTGTCCTGGGCGTACCAGGATGCAAGATGTACTAGGATGTAAAGAGGGCTGGTGCTGGACAGAAGGCAGCATAGTATTCAATTACATGAGAGGTTCCATCTTGCTTTCCCTCTCCTTCAGTAGTTTAAATTTCAGTGCAATTGAACCCAAAGCAACATCATCATCACTTACCAATATACACATTTCCAGATATGGTATAAATGAAGCTTGTCCATCCTGAAAAAGGACCAGCAACATTAAAAGGTTAGTGTCCATAATGCCAAAAGGAACAAAGATATAACGATATATTCAACAACTCTCTATGAAATATAAATATATCTAACAGACATGAAAGACAAATTGAGATGAAATCCTTTATTTTCTCTTAGATACATATTTAAAATTTTAACTTCTGTGAGCTGTTAAAAACATATACTCCCACATTCGCACATGCATTAACATACATATACACGTACCCCTAAACCTAAATGATTTGGCCCACTATGTTTTAGAGCCACCCAATTAGGCAGTATACAATTCACCTGACTACACAGCTATATGCCAACAGCTGTATTAACAAAGCTTTCCCTCCAGTTTTAACGTCATGCTAATAACTGCAACACCCCAATCTGGTTTATCTTCAGTTCATTGTGCCTCCAGGTAGTTTTAAGTGTGAAGAAAATTCTAGAAACACACTTTACTTAGTTTACTTTGGTTTCTAGTGAACTCACTCCTTTTCATCTATCCTAAAATAGAGGATCAGTTCCAGGGATTTGGGGATGCATGATCTTTGGGGGTACACATGGGGTTTGGATGGTCCGTGCACTCCCTGGAACTGCGTACACAATTTTTCAAGTGTGTACACTTTTCTGGGAGGAGGGTACATAGCATTCAGCAGACTCCTACTGTGACCCATGGGGCCAAGAGCTCAGAGCCACAGACAACCAGCCACTTGCTCTCCCAATGCCAGCCAGCACTGGGTTTCCATGGGTATTCGTACCCACGGCCCAGAAGGGATGCTGCAGGGCCCCCAGGAGACCTGAATCCAGAAATGGCAAGCTCAAAACAGAATCAGGACATCACTTGTGTGCCTTCAGTGGAAAAGGAGAAGAGGTGGGATGGTAGAGTTCAAAGTGGAAGGGCAGGGCCCAGACTGGAGTCTGTGCAAGAGTCAACGGATGGTGAAACAGACCAAAACACTCGGGCGGACGCTAGAGGAGGTCTTTTCACCCTCCAATTTCCCAGTTTTTCCTCTCTGAGATTTTACCAGTCTCAGTTTAAGGCCTCTGGAAGTAATCCGACTTGCTGATGGCTCACCCCTATTTGTTCTCCCTTCCGGACCCACGTGCTCAGTCTCCCAGCAGTTAGGGAACAGCACTCACTCCTGTGCATGTGCCGTGGGCGGAGACACTGGGATGAAGAAGGCCCAGCTGGGCTGTACGAGTTGTGCAATTTGCGGGAGGGAGGTTCAGTGATGCTGAAAGTCCAGGCGAACAATCCACAGCCTACTTCCACTGCTCTCTCCACTTTCTCATGGATGCTCAGCCTCTCCAGTCCTATTTAGCCTGACGTGTAACGAAAACCCCTTTCCTCGCTGCTTTTTTTAAAAAAATCCACCACCGAGCATTGTTTAAATTGGTTTTTCTTTCTCTCTTTATTTATTTGACAAAGAGAGACACAGCAAGAGAGGGAACACAAGCAGGGGGAGTGGGAGAGGGAGAAGCAGACTCCCCACTGAGCAGGAAGCCTGATGCAGGGCTTGATCCCAGGACCCTGGGATCATGACCTGAGCTGAAGGCAGATGCCTAATGACTGAGCCACCCAGGCGCCCCTAAATTGATTTTTCAAAGTGCAAATGTCCTCACTGTGTTTTTCTGATTATATAAAAAAAACCTCATACCCATAAATTTAAAACATATTTTAAGACTTAGAAGTGTGTAATCTCTAAACTGAAAATCTTTCTGCAATCTTCATTCTTGGCCTGACATAAACATTGCTAGCAATTTGATATTTATGCTTTCAGTTTCTTTTTTGTTTTTGGCGCTAGGTATCATTTGCTTAAAAACCCGAACAAACTCAATGTTCTATTCTGAATACCTTTCCATGTCAAAAGAGAGAAATAACTCATCCTCGGGCAAGACTGCAAAGCATTCCAGTATAAGGACGTGTCATAATTTACGTAACCAAGCCCCTCTTTGTGCTTGAAAGGTACTAAAAAAATAATGGCTCCTGATTTTGACAAAACCTCAAAGCTCTCAATTGCCCTACTGGGTTTTTATTGGGGACTACTTTAATTGGTCTAATCTCATTTCTTCTCCACCCTCTCTGCTTCATTCCTACTCACCCACCAAACAGAAAACTAGTCCACACATAATTGCCATGGCTGGGTTTCTGTTTTATCTTTATACACGATCCAGAAGGATCAAACATTTGCTCAAAGTCATGGCCAAGCCAATGTAGTAAATGCATTCACCTATTTTTGCCCCTTGCAAAAGTCTTCTACTAGCATACAGAGCCCTTCTTCACCAGTAGTAACAAAATTCATGTTACTGGTTGGAAGGCACACAGCATTAGGGGGAAATTGCCTTTTTTTCCCTTCTTTTTAACATATTGTCCAAGTGCACTTGCTTCTGTTAAACCTGAAAGAGGACTTCCAACTACCTACATTTTGTCCTCAAACTTTCTAATTGATTCTGTTCTTTCCGGCTTGTCTCTTGGCTCAGGCAGAAGACCCTGAGAGCAAAGCATCCCCTGATGGGACCTGAGACTAGCCCCTCAAGCAATCAGGACCACCCTGAGCCAACCAAACCCCTCCCATGATGGATTCCAAGACCCTGATTGATTTGACCTTCACTGCCCACCTGCATGTACCCAACTCAACCATGTCCCACATTTTCCTTCTGTAAACCGGAACGTATTTTCAGCACTTTGGAGATAATCTTTGAGATACTAGTTTGCAGTATTCCCAGTGTTGGAATAAATAAATTCCTTTCTTGTTTCACCACTACTTGTTTCTCTGCCTTCTTCCAGCTGCAGTGAAACAAGAGCCCAATGGTGTGAACAGTTCCTGTGTTTAAGAACCATCACATTTTATGAGAAGTCTTTCTCTGCGAAGAGCAGGATTGCATCAGTAAAGCGCTCTCTGGTGAGATGTGTGGGTCCTTCTCATCTTTCCCTGCTCCCTCCCCCCAACTTTATGTCCTGCACCAGGAATTAATGCCATCCCCGCATTTTTATTGCTCTGTCAGAGGTCACAGGCCCTACAGTTTCCTTTCTTCCACCAACAGGGTCTCCATGCTACTGGCGCTGGGCAGCTGGGAAGCCCTTCCCCTCCCTTGGGCCCTGACAGAGCGGGGGTCGGAGGTCTCATTTCACCTCTGGCCCCGCAGGATGGTTTAATCAGCACCACATGTTAAGTCGGACCTCCTTTAGTCAAACATAAAAAATTGTAAGACTTTTAAATATGAAAATCATTTTCTGTGGCTTCTGCTCTCATTTCCAGGGAGGTTCCAATTCTTGCCAGTGTCCCTAGTGAGAGCTTTTCCTGGCCTATCGTCCTTGCTTTAACCCAGCTCATCCTCCTCCTGCCTCAGCTGGAGAGTTCCTTATTTCTATGAATTTTACAGCTACTCTCTATACATGTGATGTGGGAAACAGAGGCACAAGGGAAAAAAAATGTCCTTAGTACTTACAGCTCACTGACAAGTCCTTGAAACAGGCAGAGAGACATTCCTCTAGGAACTCAGCTGCCTTCATGTTAATACTTTGCTAGGGGCAAGAGGCAATCTTAGCCTGACCACCAGGATCCTGTGAGTCTACTTTAACATATAAAAATTCCTTTGGAAACTTCTTTTATCTCTACTCCCCCTCTCACCCCACCTAAGATACATGTTGGCAATCATCCCCCAAGCATATGGCCCACTGATACACATCTGAAGGGTCTCATGACTTTTTATTAGACAGTCATAAATGACATTTTCCTAACAATAGCTAGCCCCCTCGAGGTCCTGGAAACCTTGCTTCCAAAACTCCTTAGAGACATTCGTTCTCACTAACCCTCCCCCCGCAACCTGAGAGTATATAATCAGTCGCTCCTCACAATCCCAGTGCAGCTCTTACTGCCGGGTCCTGTCCCCGGGCTTTAATAAAACCACTGTTTTGCACTGAAGACATCTCAAGAATTCTTTCTTGGCCATTGGCTCTGAACCCCACCACTTCAAACCATATCACTCATGACACCTCCCTTACCCCTCCATGGCTCTAAGTTCATCTTGGGCAGGTAGCTCGTCACCATGGACTTCATGCCTGGTGATCTGGGATGGGAGAAGACCCACCTGATCCTCTCCTCCCCCTTCTCACTTAAGCAAATTACTTTTTTAATTTTTATTTTGAAATAATTTCAGACATACAGAAATGTTACAAAAATAATATAGAGAATTACTAAATACCACCCACCCAGATTCTCTAAAAGCTAACATGTTATCACAATATGCTTTATCATTTTCTCTAGAAATACATATGTATTTTCTTCTGAAATATTTGAACAGGATATAGATATGATATCCCTTTACCTTGAAATAATTCAGTATTGTTAAAAAAGAAGTTCAAAATGAAGTCATTTGTCCCCCAAGACAGCAAGCCAAGACTTAATTACAACTTACTTTTTTTTTAAAATTTATTTATTTGAGAGCAAGCAAGCGAGGGAGCATGAGTGGGCGGGCGGACGGGAGAGAGAGAATCTCAAGCAGACTCCCTGCTGAGTCTGGAGCCCCACGTGGGGCTTGATCTCACGACCCTAAGACCATGACCTGAGCCGCAATCAAGAGTCAGACGCTTAAATGACTGAGTCACCCAGGTGCCCCTTAATTACAACTTTCAACTTCTCCCAGGAATGTGACATTTTAAGAGTCACCCTGAAATGTCCTGACCACCCCTAGTAAGGTCATCTGCATGATAAAAACCCTTTGGGGTCCCTTCCCTGAAAAAAAGAAAGACACCCAGGGCTGAAACAATCCTTTCCTTTCTTTGCTAGTATCTTGTCCCACCCTTCTTCTGCCTATAAAAATCTTCCATTTTTTACAACTCCTGGGAGCCCCTGTCTACCTTACTAGATGGGATGCTGCCTCAATCATGAACTGTTGAATAAAGCCAATTCGATCTTCAGATTTACTCAGTTCAATTTTTGTTCTTTAGCAGTATTCCTTCCTAAAAACAAGGATATTTTCCTACATAAACAT